AACAAGTGCCACGCTACTAGTAACAGGTGCCTTACTAGTAGTAACAAGAAGCTACTAGGAACAAGTGCATCGCTAGTAGTAACAGGTGCCTTACTAGTAGTAACAAGAAGCTACTAGTAACAAGTGCCACGCTACTAGTAACAGGTGCCTTACTAGTAGTAACAAGAAGCTACTAGGAACAAGTGCATCGCTAGTAGTAACAGGTTAAGAATCGTAGCTTCTTTGTTCCGTTCGTAGCGTCCTTGCTCCTAGTAATATGGCCAGGAGCCCCTAGTAGCGATGCCCTTTGTTCCGTTCCTAGCTTCAAAATCTTTTCTCTCCTCCGGTGCAAATGGTGTGCCAGTAAGACCAGCACCAGCCGAGCTCTCATGTGACATGAGTGCTTCAGGTCGCCGACCAAAGCTAGACTTGGCTAAGGACCGTAAGTGCGTTTTGACTTTTTTTTGCTATTGATGTCTTTCTTTTTCTCTTTTTCTTTTCTTTTCAGTATTTGCATGTATTGTCGTTTAAATGGCATGAAAAAAACGGTGATGGATCCGGAGATCGTCTACAATGCGCCTGCGTCGCTTGCGTAGCAACGTCGCTCTGTGATGCTTAGACTCTTAGACTATCTGAAACCTCTTTTACAACCAGAAGACCGAAAATGACTCCCTTTTGACCTCCCTTTTGACTCTCTCTTGTTCAGCCCCGAGCCGCACGTGTGACGGTGTGTGTTTGCGATGCACTTGTTTCTACGTTCGCTTCTTGCTCCTAGTAAGGCACCTGTTCCTAGTAGCGTGGCACTTGTTACTAGTAGTGAACCTTGTTACTAGTAAGGCACTTGTTACTAGCGATGCACTTGTTCCTAGTAGCTTCTTGTTGTCACATCGCAAAAAGAATGTCAAAACTGTTCGAATCGAAATCAAACATGCTTTCTCATGTTTTCTGCAACTTGGGTCTTCCGCGGAATGGAGTCACACCACCCCAAGAACTCCTCAGAATGCAAAGCACAACAAGAATCATAGTAGCTTCTTTGTTCCTAGTAGCGATGCCAGGAGCCCCTAGTAGCGTCCTTGCTCCTAGTAGCGATGCCCTTTGTTCCTAGTAGCTTCTCTGTTCCTAGTAGCCAAGACCCTATTGCTTTTCCTGTTTGCTTTCTTGGTTTTTTTCGTATCTATTCTTTTGAGTCCTCCGGCGTGTAGAAGATGAGCTCGGCGTTTTGGGCAAATTTCATGTCCACATCACTGGCGTCGCCCTTGCGGCCGGCAGAGTTCCCCACCTCAACGTATCACGGAACATACGGTTACGTATGTTTCACTAAGCATGAAAAAACAGTATAAGAAAACACTTGTCCGTCTCCCCTTTTGAAACACAAAGATTCTCTTCACATGCTCCGACAAAGTCTTTTCTTTGAAGGAATTTTTAAGACCTTGCCAGTCTGAGACCTTGCCGCTGAGCCACATAAAAACTTTGGCGAGGTCGTTCAGGTGAACTCAGATGTTGCTCAAGAAACACTTCAACATGGTTCGAAAAGAGGGCCAAAGGCTGGCCACTGAGGCATCCACAACACAATGACCTAAAGAGTTTCCACATTCCTTCAGGGGGGTGACGGCCGTCGTGTCGACAAACAAATGGTGAGACGTTTTTAATCTCATTATATCTCATCTAGCGGGCACTTTGCAGTTTTTCTGATCACGCAGGGCCCCAGGGTCGCAACTCTTTCAGCTTTGACAGGATACAGCTCTTCATTCCGTTGTGCCCAGCCAGCGGATCGTTAGATCAGAATGAACCGCGTGGATCAGCTCTTCAGGCAGGAATGTTCTGTTAGATTCAGTTAGATCCTAAACTCTCGGGGAAGGGTCGCGTGGAAAGCAACTTTGATGTTCACAGTTTTGGTGATTGTATGCGGATCGGGCATCCAGCGAAAAATATGATTTTCGATGGCAGTGATACACTATGGCAACTTCGACCTTAGCCCTGATAGTTGACGACCGTTACACACTTAGGAAACTTTCACTTTTGACTGTCGACGGCGGTTGCACACACTTTGGCAAGTTCCACCTTGATTTTCGGCGACAGCTGCACACTTTGGCCACTCCCACCTCGATTTTTGGACAACAGTTACAAGCTTTCCTTGCTTCCACCTTGAATTCCACGACAGTTACACACTTTCGTTGCTTGATTTCGCGACGACAGTTACATACTTTGGCGAATTCGATCTTGATCTTCGACAGCAGTGACACACGTTCGTTGCTTCAACCTTGATTCTCGACGACAGTTGCAACTCGACACCCACGATCTCCACAAAGGACTCATCAAGGACACAAAAATTACGCCAGCGTAGACCCCAGATAGCAAAAAACTTTTCCGGCAGCACCAGAAGCAACGGCGCCAGCGCACAGCAGCGGCCCCAAGCGCACACGGGAGCAGCACCCAAGTTCACGCAGCTCTTCCTACACTTGAGATAGGAAACCCAATAGCACACGCTATCTAGGGAATTGCACCAGCATAGACTCCAAATAGGGAAATGACCTTTCCGGCAGCAACAGCAGCAACGGCGCCAGCACTCCCAAGCGCACACAGCAGCAGCACTCTGCACAAAAGTTCCAAGCGGCGCTGGCACCCAAGCTCGCAAATGCACACACGCAGCTCTTCCTATATTTGAAGTAAAAACCCCAGTGGCTCACGCTATCTGGTGAAAAACAAAAAAAGTGCTCCAGAATATTTAGTTTAAACTAAAAACAAAATGTAAAAACATGAAAACAAATGTCAGCAAAAATCAATAAAATCAACAACTTTAGTGTTGGATTTGTTTGGATTTCAGTGGAAGGAAGGGGATCAAACAATTGAATCAAAACCAACCTGTCACAACCCACTTTGATCACGCAAGAACATGTGCCCTATCAAAGCACCTGTTCCTACCATTCCTTCTCCCACTTCATCATTCAACCATTCCCGGAAAAAAGAACAAGGTCTGACAGAGCCCTGAGAGCCGTGAGCCCTCACAGAGTTGACTTTCACCATAAATATCATGTTGGCCCGATGAATCTGTGAAACAACGCAAACCCAATGCTGTCCCCCAAAACGAAGAATCCCACATTCACACCAGCTCTTTTACAAAAGCTGGCCTTTCCAAAAGATAATGTCAGCCATGGTCCTTGAAAGATTGCAGTGCATCTTTGGACCATGGCCAAGCTCGCGCAGGGGAGCGGGGCCCGCTCCGCTTGTAGTATCCGTACCGTCCTACCAATACTAGTATTACTACTACTACCACCATACTACTACTACTACTACTGCTACCACTACCACCACTACTACCACTACTACCACCACCACCACCACCACGACTACTACTACTACAACAACTACTACTACTATTACTACTAACAAGAATACTGCTACTACGACGACTACTACTACCACTCACAAGACTACTACTAGTACTCCTGCTGCTGCTGCTACTACTACTACCACTTCTGCTACTGCTACTACTACTACTACTACCACTACTACTACTACTACTACCACTACCACTACGACTAGGACCACGACTACGATTACTACTACACTTGCAGCGCCTTCTACAGAGCGGGCCCCGCTCACTGAGCGAGCGGGGCCAGCTCCGCTTGTAGTATTCGTACCAGCACCACTAGCCCTACTGATTCTGCTACTACAACTAATGCTAGCACACCACCAACACCAACAACAACAACAAGGTACAAACAAAAACTGCAGCCCCGTTACAAGATATCTTGTTCCTTTGTCTCTACAAGGGGGTGGAAACAAAATCTGCAACCCCGTCGTTGTTATTTTGACTTCCCCAGAAAACAACCGGCCAACATGTACATTTACCAGTAGTGGTAGTGCTTGTACTAGTGCTAGTAGCAACAGTAGTCGTAGTGGTAGTAGTAGTAGTAGTGGTAGTGGTAGTAGTAGTAGTAGTAGCAGTGGTAGTAGTAGTGGTAGTGGTAGTGGTAGTAGCAGTAGCAGTAGCAGTAGCAGTAGGCGTAGGCGTAGTAGTAGTAGTAGTAGTAGTAGTAGGAGTAGGAGTAGTAGGAGTAGTAGTAGTAGTAATGGTGGTAGTAGTAGTAATGGTGGTAGTAGTAGTA